CACTGATCTATGCCAGCCCTCCAACTAGAATTAGAGCTGGCTGACAGTCCTTCCTCTACCATTCATTCACTAGTTGTGTGGCCAAGTTACTCAGCTTCTCTTAAGCCTGTTTTTGGTGGTTGATGAGGACAAATCACAATTCCCACCTGGCAAACAACAGAAGCATTTGCACAAATGTTAATCCCTTATCCCTCAGCTCCTAAGTTAAGACAGATTCTTATATTTTCTTAAGCTTCGGATCCATACTGAGGGCAGGGCACAGGAGAGGTGGTCAAGCCGAAGTTCTTGGACCGCATCCCAGAGTGACTCCAGGGTAGGAGAGCAGTTCAGAAATCTACACGTTGGACCTGTCCCCAGGAAATTCAGATGCCCCACAGTTCTCCTGCCTGACTTTCTGCATAACTCTGCATAGTGCTTGAAATCTAAGCAGACAGACCAGTGGTGTGTGAGCTGCCTTTTCAAATGTTTCAGCCCTTCCTACACTGGCCTCCAGCTGGGTCTGTGCCTCCTCCCTTTCCCCCTCACCCAATCGGTATCTCCCCACCTGTCCCAACCGCCTCCCCTTCCTCTGTTCTTACCTCCTAGCTTCCTCTCCACCTCCCTGCGGCACCGGCACTGTCCCCTGAGCTCAGCCCATATTCCTACCCACCAGCCATTTCTCTGCCAGTCTCTTCACCTGCAATGCTCTTTCCTCTATCCACCTGGTAGGCTCAGATACAAGTTGCCTCGTCCAGAATAAACTTCAAGCCCTCTTCTCTAGCACCATGGCATGTTGCATGTGCCTTTATTACTGCTCAAATGAAATGGTAATGTGAGGTTTTTGTTTTTTTGGTTTTTTTTTTGGCTGGAGACTACCTGGTGGACTCACGGCCCATGAATGGTGGCAGTGTGCACCAGAGCAAGATGAAGAGAGGAAGACAAGCCCTTGACTTTGCAGAGGAGCCAAGAGGCCTGGGAAGTAAAAGACCAGGAGATGGGGGTTCCTGAAAAGGCAGACAAGAGATTACTATGTGGGGGTTCCCACAGCTTTTTCAGACAGCGGCTGTGCAAAAATTCATTGGAAGAACTGAAGAATGTTGCCGGCTCCATTTGGGGGAAGGCATGCTTGTGTCAAGACACTGATGCTCTTGCTGAGCTATTTTAACAAGAAACACTATTCTTTTGCCTAGGAAACGGGATTTCCCTAGAAAATTCCTTACTTTCCACCTTGTTTAACACCAAGAGAATACTTTGCCTCTATGTCCTTATCCCTAACTTCCTCCTTGATGATTAACCATACTGAATGCACTCAGATTCATCTAGTCTAAAACCAGGAAGAGGTGGTTCTCACTCCTAGAAAGAGAATTACTGAAGGGGCAGCCCCCACACACTCAAGTGCCATATCTCCCAACAGCTGGTTTTATAAATAGAAACAAGCACTGGGACCCTGACCTTCCCAGGAAGACCAATGGAGCCCCTGACCCAGATCAGTGGAGCTTGCTTCCAAGAACTGTGCTGTTCCTAGACCAGCCCTGTAGATACTCCTTAAGTTCCCCTGGACCTGCAAGTAGTACCTCTCCACCGGGGCACTCACCCCACACTCAGGCTCTAAGCTCCCATTTGACCAAAGCCTGCAGGTGTGAAGTATGGGAAGCAAAAGACACCACCCTCCCCCCCAACACACACACACTTTTGACCTTTTGTTCTGAGTCCATCTGAAAGAGAAATGTCAACTCTATCAAGGAAAGCAAACGAAGAATACCTGGCTAGATGAGAATATCCAGACCCTTGAACTTCGCGCCTTAGGGCTGATAGGCAGGTTACAGGAGAAAGCCCTGGGGACCTAAAGGCTCCATTGGTAAAAAGTGTGATCAAAACACGTGTGCTTTTCCCCAGAGCCGCCAGGCAGGAAGCACCACCCTCGCTGATGCCCTCAGGGAGGCAAAACTAGGGTAGGCTATTGGTCCGATTTTACAAGTGGGAGCCTTCCCACAGGAGGCCAAGAGACAGTCGCAAAGTTACACAGACGGTGCTGTGGCCAGGCGAGGTCAGGAACCCAGAAGCCGGGATCTAGACTGACACAGATGCTGCTGGAGGCGGACAGGCGGACAGGTTCCGCCCGACGCTGGTGACCTCGCCTAGTGGCCCCACCTCTTCGCGCGCACCTGGGGTCGAGAGATCGCTCACCTGCTCGAGGTTTGGCAATTTGGGCTTGCGGGAGCGCTGGCCCCGCCCCCACGGCTCCTTCGCCCTACGATTGGCTCCGCGGGCTAGGGGCGGGGCCGGGCGTCCAACCGACGTGATTGCGTCAGGCGCCGCGAGAGTTGTTTCCTGTTGTCAGTGGCGGAGAGGCCGCAGTGTCGGGTCGGAGGCTGAGAGGCTGCTGCGGCTAGGAGTGCTCCTCGCCCCCTCCCCGCTCCCTCTGGTGAGTTAGCGGTCGGGGGCAAGGAGGGCGAGAACGGGCGCCGGGGCCGAGACGCGAACGGCGGTGGGCCACCAGCTCTGTCCGTGATCCCAAACCCCTTGTTGCCTTGAGACTGCCCTGCTTCAGAGCCCTTTCCCTTCCCGGTGTGAGCCCCGCACCCCAACCCACTCGGACCCGAACCTTCAGCCCGCACAGCCACTGCTGACCCGTCCCCTCCATCTTCTCCCGCCCGGGACCGAGCCCAGGCCTTACCCCCAGCCCCTCACCACTGGTGTTGCGTAAATGCGGCCACACTCTTGACCCCCACAGTAGCCCAGTTCCATCCTCCAGCGCAGCCACATCCCTCCGCTTCCCTCACCCCTCACCCCCGTTGACAGCCGCAGTGTTCCACGCTAACCTTCTCTGATCCCCACCATTCTGGTTTCCCCCTTTTTTGGCTCAGCTTTCTTATCCCAATCTCCCTGCTCAGCCGTAACACCCCACCTCCACCCACCCTCATTTAATACCTACCACAAAAGCAGACGCTCTGTTGAGCTCACCCCCTCTTCTTAATAACGCTAACCTCAGCCCTATACTAAGTTTTATATGTATTTTCGTGTCCTCACAGACTCAACCCCTAACTTCAGAGCCCACCACATCCTTTCTTATCACCTCCAGCCATCCTGAGGGCCCCTCATCCCTAAGTCTTGGCTAAACTGCCCCCAACTCTTGCCTCCCCAGTTACCACCCCTACCCAGTGTTACTAAAATGAGATCTCCTTGTCCCCATTTCTTCACCCCAGCTCTGCACCCATTCTTCCCTTGACGTGGTTCCCATTTGATCTGAGAACTTAGAGCAGTCCCCTGCCAACCCCACCTGCTTCCCCTCAGCAGCCAAATCAGGGTGCTTTCTCAGAGCTGGGCAGTTGCTGAGCAGCTGCAGGGTGCAGGGCCTCCGATGGTAAATAAGAAATAAGTGTGGAGGAGGGGAGATCCACCCCCTGTGGTTCAAGGGTTTTTCCTGGATGTCTGGTCCCCTGTACCTGTTGTCCTCAAGGATCGTGTTTTTAGCATTCATATTACATTACTTGTGTTGGCTGCTGGAATGGTAGGTATCATCCGAATAAGTGGAAGGTGAGGGACGGCTGCTCAGTCAGACTGGGACAGTGGAGACTTACCACTTCCTTTTGGACGGTAATCTGTAGAAACTCAGAGGCTTCCACTGTGTGGGCTTGGCTCTGGTCACAGAACCACGTCCATAAGTGTTGTCCTGGCACTTAGAAGGGACCCTCACGTAGTGCTCCCCGCCAGCCAGAGCTGATTGCAGATTCGTCCCAATACCGAACACAGGGAAACAGTACCAGAGGTGATGTTACATGTTGTGAAGAGTGTAGGTGAGTGGGTCCTGGGGAGGCTGAAGAACTAGGTGGATTCAGAGGCTGTTGAATTGCTACCTCTTTTTGCCGGCACCGAGTCATTGATTTTTGACCATTTTGATGACCCATGAACTCAAAGAGCCAAGTTATCTCAGTAGTTAGACCTTCTTGAGACATCCAGGCCCCATTGTTAGTATTTATGATCTCCTGGGCTTTTTGGGTGCACATCCCCTCTTAGTTCTGGTGACCAGACTCCAAAGGATTGGCCGTTTTGCAGCAATTGTAAGGGACCCCAAAGAGGACCCATTGTCTTTGCTTGACATTTATAGTCTCGCTTCTTTGAAAATTGAATTCCCTTCTACCTTCAGTAAGGTGTGATATATCCACAGGGTTCACAGCCTATTGGCAGCTTGGTATGACGGACAGAATTCCACAGGGGCCCTCCCACTGAAAAGTTGTATACCCCAAATTCTTACAGTCTGGAGTGGAGATACCTGCCCTGAGCCTTCTTATTTTACTCATCTGTTCATTCAGCAAGTATATTTTGAGCACCACTGTGGGCCTTGCACTGTTCTGGGCACTAGAAATGCAATGGTGAATGAGTTGGGGCAAAGTTTCTGCTTTCATTCATTCAGAGTTTGGTCCCTGCTGGAATCCTAAGGGATGTAGGACAAGAATATGGGGGTGACGTGGGGTGCCTGAGTAGTTCAGTTGGCTGAGTGTCAGACTCTTGGTTTCAGCTCAGAACATGATTTCATGGACCGTGAGATCGAGCCCCCCCACTGGGCTCCATGCTGGCCTTGGAGCCTGCTTAAGATTCTCTCTGTCTCTCCCTCTGCCCCTCCTCCCACTCATGTGCGTTCTCTCGCTCTCTTGAAAATAAATAAATAAATCTTAAAAAAAAAAAAAAAAAAGATGGGGCGCCTGGGTGGCTCAGTGGGTTAAGCCGCTGCCTTCGGCTCAGGTCATGATCTCAGAGTCCTGGGATCGAGCCCTGCATCGGGCTCTCTGCTCGGCGGGGAGCCTGCTTCCTCCTCTCTCTCTGCCTGCCTCTCTGCCTGCCTGTGATCTCTCTGTAAAATAAATAAATAAAATCTTTAAAAAAAAAAAAAAAGAATATGGGGGAAATGTGTGTTGTAGGGGAGGAGGAGGGAGCGAGGAAAGAAAGATACCCAGTGTTCATACACTTCACATTTCTGGCCTCACCCACTAGCCTTTAGACTGAGAATCACGAGCTAGAAGTTTCTTGCCCTCCAGCTGGTATTCATTTGCTTCAAAGGCCTAGTCGCCTTCACCCCCAGACACACACACCCATCCCACCCTTCACAGGACCCTTGTCCAGAACTCCCAAGTTTCTTCAGGTAGAGGGAGGTGCTGTTCACTCACTCAGCACTCACATGTCTGGAGGATCAGCTGCCTTTCTGAATCAGAAGATAACTCTGTCACTCGTTTCCGACTGAAAACCCTGACTCATCACCTGGGGCAGCAGCTGGAGGGCTTAAACACCAGCCTGTTGTTCTGCATAGCCAGGTACAGGATCGGATTCAGGCTGTAGAGACCGAGGCTGTCACGGATGGCGGGGAAGTCTCCAAGAAGAGGAGGTTGCTGTTTACTGGTGAATGGAGTGTTTCGAAAGCGATGAAGCCAGGTCATCCATTTCTTTGTTTAATGTAAGTCTCGTCTGAGCCCTTGTCTTCTTTTCATTTTTCCTTCGTCTCTGGAGGAAGTGAGATTGGAAGTATATAGAAGGGCGTATAACAAAGAAAATCAACCAGAATGTTTCCTTCCTGTGCATTGGAACATTTAGGAAAGGACAGTTCTGAAACCTAGCTACCATGGAAAGAATCTGTGCTGCAGAGGGACTTAGGGAGTATCTTCAGGGCTGGCCTGGGAGCAGGACAATTCTTGGAAGCAAGCTCCACTGATCTGGGCCAGGGGCTCCACTGGCCTTTCTAGGAGGGTTGGGGTCCCAGTACCTGTTTCCATTTGTAAAACCAGCTGTTGGGAGATGTGGCACCTGCGTGTGTGGGGCCTGTCCCTTTAGTATGCTACGGATCTGGTGGGCAAGGTTGTTTCTTGTTTGTTGGCTTTCTTTGATAAAATGGAGCTTCTGAGTCCCCTGGAACAGTCTGAGTAATAAGTTTGCCTACAACTCTTTGAACCAAGAACTCAGAGGCACAGGACTTGAATGAGGAAACCAGAGAATTCTGTCCCTTACCTGAGGCCCATTTCTACTGAGCTTCAGTTTTCTCCTCTGTAAAATGGGGGATAATCATCCTCCTCTTACAGGATTGTTTTAAGAATTAAATGAGATTAGAGAATGAGATCCTGTGCCAGGGTGAATCAATACTAAAGGGCAGAGGTAGACTTAGGATGGCTTGGAGTTTCCTAAAGGTAGACGCCACTCACCCTTTTCTGCTCAACTGTGCCTATAATGTTTGAGGCTCTCTATTTGTTCTCCTCAGCCTGGGTCTCCCGAAGAGACACCCCTCTTTGGTTTGGTTCTTGGTGTCAGTGAAGACTGTTCTGAGGATAGGAAGTGAAGCCAGTCCCATAGGATGGTAGATTGGGGATCTGGGCCTGCCAGGAGCCTGCTGGAGTGCTGACCTAGCTGTCAGGAGACCCAAATCCCAGAGATCTCCTAGATTGTCATGTTCCTGCCTCTGAGCCGGTTTCCTGCCTCCCTGAGGCATTGGGGGACAGGCAGGCCTAGGTAGGGTGCTTTGGCTCCTTGCAAAGAAAAGTGTGCCCATAACTTTGGCCTGATCCCAAAGTCTCATCCTATTTTGTGAATTGTCAAGTGGCTCTTCTCCTGGATTTCTCTGCACTGTTGTCATTTTGTGGGTTTTCTGACACTTTGTTTTAGGCCACAGTTGTCTCCTATCCAGCCCTGCTCTGACCTCTCAGTGTCCATTGACTTTTTTTTTTTTTTAGCAGACCCTGACTTGGCCATAGCACCCACTCACTGATAAGCCTTCCTCCCTCTGATGAATACTCTATTATTTTGGCTTAATTCTTTAATGAGGCCTTAATGGACCTACTATTCTGATTGTTGCCATCCAAGTCCTAAGGCTGGCCAGGGGAAGGGCAGTTTGGGAGCTTGAGGTTCTTTCTGGAACAATAAGCCTAAAAGGAGGCCTTAGGCCTCTGGAATTGCTGAAAGGGATTGGATGCCAGGGTCTTGGGACCAGAGAACCTGGACTTGACCTTCAGGGCTGCATAGGATAGGCTTGAAGGAACCTCACCTCCAGGATCAGGCACAATTTCAGGAGGGACTCTGACTGCAGCCCATCCCCTGTTCCCATCGCCCTGTGGCCAGAGCATGGAGCTGGTCACAGAGGAGGGTTCTGAGAACCTCAGGCATTAGGAGCCGGGAACATGGTGACAGGAGAGGTGGTCAAACGGGCTGTGGCTAGGGGCCAGCATTCTTTCTGGCAGTCTGTCGTGCTGTGACCAGAGCTGGTGCTGCAGGGGCCATCCCCCCACACACAGATCTCCCTCCCTCTGCATGCCCTTCCTTAGGAAGCTTGGCTCTGGGTCCTGTTTACCCTCACCAGCTCCAGAGGCCAGGGCTTAAGTCAGAGCATCTAATGTCATTTAGGGCCACCCTGCTGTTCTCTGTAAACCTTTTCTACCTGACCTTGACGTTCCCTTGCACCCCCTCACCCGGGCCCTTAGCTAAAGAGCCCTCTCCCAAACCTTCCCCTGCTCCCTCCCCACCTACCCCTTAGCCCTAGCTCACACTGGCCTCTTCCAGAAGGCTTGAGAGAAGGGTAGTCCTAGTGGGAGGTGGTGGATTCTGCCACTTATCAGCCCTGGAATCTAAGGAAGTTCCTTGACCTGGGTCAGCTTCTATTTCTTATCTGTTAGATCAGGATAATAAAACAGCCCTCCCAGGGTGATTAGGAGGAACGCAGGAAGCAGTATATGGAAAAAGAGTACAAAATCCATTTAGCGGGCCTCAGCTTTATTAACTTCTTTGGACCAGGAGTTTTTGAGAACAAGGACAGCAATGATCTAGTTTTGGGTGTCCCCTCATGCTCAGCTGTGTGGTCACTAGAGGTCTGTTTAGATGGGAAGGTGACTACCCCATACTGGTCCGTCCAAGTGGCTAGGGTGGGGTCAGGCCAGCCAGCAGCCCCCTTCAGGCTCAGGTGGAAGCCCTCCCACCTCAGCCCCCCTCAGGATGAAGCCAGTGCCCTGAGGGATTTACTTCAGCTACTAGCACAAGCGCATAGCACAAGCGCATTCACGCCCTGGCAGTCTCCTGGCAGTCTTCGCCTGTAGGTTTGGATGGCCACAAACACTAGGGTTGTAGATACTATTCCTCCTTAGTACCTTCAGGCCCTGTGCTAGGCATTTTCCACATTCTTTTCTCCATCCAAGAGGTCTGATACGGTGCCCTAGCATGCTTAGCTGGTTAGCAGCAAATCGAGAGTCAAGCCCGTCTCCCTTTAGACATGTCCCTGTGCTTCTCCAGCTTAGCCTGAGGAGAAGCAGATGTGTAGTGAGAGAGCCCTTCCTCTGGAAGCTGTTTCAGTTGTCACTGTCACTGCTGAGCTGGCAGACACCAGACTGGGACAGGAGTCACAGGGGGCAATTGCAGGGCCCAGGCCATCAGTGTGAATTGTGAGCGCCTGCTTCCTGGCCATGTGGGCCCTTGACACCTCCTTGCCCCCTTAGCTCTGTGTCTAAATCAGCCTTATATGCCCTGCTTTTTGTGCCAGTACTGGGTGTGGAATCCGGAGCCATTTCTGGGCACTGCTTGGGCCAGACCCACCCATGGTATACAGGACTCTGCACCTCCTGAGATCTGAGCCCACAGATTTGTTTTCCTTCCTCCTTTCCTTCCTTAAAATCCACTCTTAGCTTTTCCTTCTATATTCAAATGCCCTCCCATTGCAGTTTAAGGAAGAGGGGCTGACCTCCTGCTGCCTGCTGGGGGCAGAGGACGAGTTGGCTGGGGCTGTGAGCTGGAACTTGCTCAGCTGGCCGCCATCTGTCTCTACAGGTGTCATGTGATTCTCCGAGGGAGCTGCTGTGTGAGTGGAAATGCTCTCAGTGGTGGAGAATGGACTGGATCCCCGGGCTGCCATCCCGGTAGGCTGCAGCAGCGGGCAGGGGTGGGGAGGGGGGTGTGGTGCTGAAGGGTGGGGAAGGGTGCACAGGACAGCCGTTTCATTGATTTTTCAATGAACAAGGACTGCCCGGAAAGTGAGGCCTTGGGTTGAGAAAAAGTGATAGCATAAGCAGGCTCTGAGAAGATCCTGGCCTTTCTAGAATATCTTATTGGTGATAAAATGGGAATTTATAAAAAACGATGGTCATTTAATATAGGCTACCTAAAGACCAAGGATTTCTCCAAAGAAGGCATACATATGACCCACAAGTACATGAAGAGATGCCTAACATCATTAGACATTAGGCAAATGCATTCAAAATCACAAGAGACTTCTTTGCACCCTCTGGGATGGCTAGAATCAAAATGACATAAGACTAAGTGGTGGCCCAGTTCCACTGCTAGGTGCGTACCCAGGAGACCTAAAAACTTACGTCCGCATAAATACTTGTGCATGAATGTTCATAGCAGCATTATAGCCCCGAAGTGGGAACAGCCCAGATGTCTATTAATCGGTGAATGGATAAATAAAATGTGGGGTGTCCACGCAGTGAAATATGATTTGGCAATAGAAAGGAATGAAGTCCCAATACATGGTGACAGTGTAGACAGACCTTGGAAACATGCCAAGTAAAAGAAGCCAGACACAGAAGGTTGCCGCCTGTGTGACTCCATGTATACAGAATGTCCAGAATGGGTGAATCGTCAAGACAGAAAGTAGACGAGTGGGTGCTCGGGGCTGGGGAAGCAGCGAATAGGGAGTGACTGCTGATGGGCACAGTGTGTCTTTCTGAAGCAGTGAACATGTTCTAAAATGAGGTAGTGGCTGTAGTTTCACAACTCTGTGAATGTACCCAAAACCACTGAACTGTGTACTTTCAATGAGTGAATTTTATGCTATGTAAATTAGGTCTCATTAAAGCTGTTGTTTAAAAAAAAAAAAAAGAACATTCAACTTTTCAGAGAACATTAAAATGAACTGTTTGGGCTAAAATAAAAACAAAAACAGCAAAATATTTATCCGTAATCCTATCAGCTAACGATTCAAACCAGTTTTTCTGCATTCCCTTCTAGTCCTTTTCCACACACTTCGGTAACTTTGACATGCTCATATTATGACCAGACTATCCTTATATTTCCAAACGATTCAATGTATATGTATTTTATAATTTACTTGCTGAACATTTAACTGAGTACCTACATGTGCCTGGCACCATGCCAAGTGTCAAGGACCCAAGGACGAATAAAAGACCAGTCCTGCCCTCTGGGTAATCCCCGCAGTGCTGTAGTTCAGGAAGTATGCTTTCTGTTTAAGGGTGAGGACGTTAAGCTCAGCGAGGTTAAGTGAAATGTCTGGGGTGACCCCGCTGGTGACCGACCGAGCTGACACTCACCTGAGCCTCTGACTGCCCAGTTGGGATCTTTCTCAGTGTAGACTGTGATCCCTTTTTCTTGTTCAAAAGTAACACTTGTTGCTTCTTGGTAGAATCGTAGTCAGGCGAGTGAGGTAGATGGCTTCCCCGCTGCTCTGGGTGGGTTCCCCGAGCTCGCATAGCTGTAATGTGATGGAACCAGTATTTAAACACGAGATTTATATGGATGTCAGTTCACTGAAGTTCAGTTTCTTTTGTCGTTGTTTTCATTTGAAGTTCAGTTTAAAAAACAAAAATATACAAATAGCTTTGCAAAAAAAAAAAACCAAAACATCAGTACCGCTGTGCTCTGGCTTTGTTTTGTATAATTAGCTTGTGTGAGCTTTGCTGTATAGACACACACATAGATGTGTGTGCCTGCGTGGTTGCTTGTGTGTGTGTGTGTGTGTGTGTGTGTGTGTGTGTGTGTGTGTGGCGAGAAGCAGTCCCACTGCAGGATCTCCTAAAGGGGTGTTACGTCTGCCGCTGACCAGGTGATCAAGAAGAAGCTGGTGGGATCGGTGAAGGCGCTGCAGAAGCAGTACGTGTCCTCGGACACGGCGGTCACTAGCGAAGACGGAGATGCCAATGCCATGTGCAGCGCCCTGGAGGCCGTATTTATCCACGGCCTGCACGCCAAGCACATCCGAGTCGAGGCCGGAGGGAAAAGGAAGAAAAGCGCCCACCAGAAGCCTCTTCCTCAGCCCGTCTTCTGGCCCCTCCTGAAAGCTGTCACTCACAAGTGAGATGAGCTGGGGAGGTTTTGCTGTGGGGAGGACACGGGACTCTCCCTCGTCAGCTGTGCGGGAAAGCACCAGAGCCAGTCTGTTCTAGAACAGAGATGGGTGAGATAGGGGTTATTGTTAGACCAAGCCTCAAGGGCCCCTCAGCCTTCAGCCATGGCTGGTCGCCTGTAGCAGGAGCCGCCGTTAACACACCGTGGCAAACTGAGGTGGTTGTAACAGAGAGAGTGTGGCCTGCAAAGCCTATCATCTTTACTATGTGGCCTTTTACAAAAGAAGTTTGCTAACCCTGCCTCAGGATGTTTGAACATCTATATTGCTAAATCTTCTAACAAGGGATGGCCTTTGTTTTTTTTTTTTTAAAAAAGTGGAATCCAGACCGTCTGACTATTCATCCTGGGACGGCTGTCTCCGTGGCCCTGCTGAGGACGGCCTGGGCTGTGGAGCCGGGAACTGACGTTGGGCCTTGAAGGGCTGCTTAGTGCCACCTTTGGCCTGAGGTGTCTTGTGGGTCTCTGTCTTCCTTTTCCTGATGACTGCCACTGCCCTGTCTCAGGTTCTTAACCACACTCCTAGGTGACATTGGCTTTCTGATTGTCCTCATCTTATTCTGTCTGTCTTTAGCCCAGTTGGCTGGGCCGCACTCACTGAGCTGAAACTAAGCAGAGTGCATTTGCTGGTCCCATGGAGACGGGCTGCGCTCCCACAGGCGAGACGTGCAGGGCACTGTGGAAGTCAGGGGAGGGGTATTTTCAGCAGATCAAGGATTCCGGAACTCCGTTTGCTATATGTGGGATCTGATCTTATCCAGAACGGCCCCCCCAAGACATCTGCATAACCTGTGGTCAAGTCACTTCCCTGTGCGAAAACCCTCAGGCTTTCAAATCTGGAGTGTGATTCACTCAGTGGAGGCCCTGTATCTTGACCAGGTTCCTGGGTGATTCTGATGCACAGACAGGCGTGGGGACTGCTGCCCCACTTTGCCTCACCCGTTGAATACTTAAGACCCTACCTTACCTGACTTTGCAGCTTAATCGCCCGCTCCTCCTCCCAGTGCTGTAATCGGAGTGCTCGCCACTCCTGTTACACAGCTGTTGCCTTCCTGCCCTTGGTGCCTTTTTTCTCTCGGTCCTCTGTGCCTAGAAGGTTCCCCTTCCATTTTCACCTCTTGAAATCCCTTAATGGCCCAGCTCCGATACTGCCTTTTCTATGGCATTTTTCTTACTGAGACCCGGTAATGATTGTGTACTCCCACCCCGGCTCTGCTGACAACAGGCTTCATGTGCCCCTGAAAGGTGGTCACCTGGATTGAGGACAGGACCATGTCTTTACCCTGTGTCTCTGGGCTCTGAAGAGACCTTGCACTGAGGGGCTCATCAAATGTGTGCTAGATGAGCACATGATGTCAGGGACCCCCGAGTAGCCATAAGGAAAATGGCAATTATCCTTCATGACAGCAACCTCAAAAAGTTGGGGGTTATAGCTTAATATTTCTAAATTCCCCATAAAGCACTGTTACCCAAGATTTTTTCAAGCCTCTGTATGTGGGCAGTTGTTATGACGGGCTCTTGCTAACCAGTGGCTAAAACAAGACCGCAGTGATTGGAAATCCTTTCTTGAAACAAGCCTGTCCTCCCATCCCCAGACACATCATCTCGGAGCTGGAGCACCTGATCTTTGTGAGCACAGACGTGGGCCGCTGCCGGGCCTGGCTGCGGCTGGCCCTCAACGACGGCCTGATGGAGTGCTACCTGAAGCTGCTCCTCCAGGAGCCGGCCCACCTGTGCGAGTACTATCAGCCCACAGCGCTGCTTCGAGACGCCGAGGAGGGGGAGTTCCTCCTCAGCTTCCTGCAGGGACTGACATCCTTATCCTTCGAGCTCTCCTACAAGTCCGCCATCCTAAACGAGTGGACGCTTACCCCGCTGGCTCTCTCTGGGCTTTGTCCGCTCTCTGATCTCGACCCCCTCACTACCTCTGGGACAGAACTACAGAGGAAAGAGTCTCTGGATTCAATTTCCCATTCCTCGGGCTCGGAGGACATCGAAGTCCAGCACTCAGGACACAAGATCCGACGGAACAGGAAGCTCACAGCCTCCTCCCTCAGCCTGGACACGGCCAGTTCGTCCCAGCTGTCTTGCAGCCTAAACTCTGAGAGCTGCCTGCTCCAAGAGAACGGCTCCAAGAGTCCAGACCGTTCTGAGGAGCCTATGTCCTACGACTCAGACGTGGGGACAGCAAATGCTGAGGATTCAGACCTGTCTCTGCAAGAGTGAGTGCTCCTCCCCCCACCCCTTCCCCCTCTCTCTTCCTTCCTTCCTCCTCTTCCTCTTTCAAGTCTCCCTTCCTATAGCATGTGATTGCCTGTCACTGATCACTGACCACTATAGGGACATACAGAAAGACAAAGGGGACATCCTCTCTCTTCCTCAGGGACTGGAGTTGCTGGGACCTGTAACTGGAGGCCACATGGGGCAGTGAGGAGAACGGCTCTAAGTAGGGCTCAGAGCTGGACCAGGCTCCATGCAGCGCTGCCCCAGGGTGAACTTCAGCAGGTGACCTCCTCTCTCTGAGGCGCAGTGTAAAATATCATTGCCTCTAGAGGGAAGGAGACTCACAGTTCAGGGTTACACGTACAACTTCCAAAAACCGCAGGGAAGCACAGTGGGTAAGGGTGCTCCTCTGTGACCTCCCAGAAGGCCTCACAAAGACGCAGACCCTGAACTGGAGGAGATGGTAGACAAAAGGGACCAAGCAGATGTATGGAGGGAAGAGTCCAAGGAACAATGAACTTGACTAGAGGACGGAGCCTGGCCAGAGCCTTCTCTTTTAAAAAATGTTTTTAATTTGAATGTAGTTGATAAACAATGTTATATTAGTCTCAGGTGTACAACATAGTGACTCACCATCTCTGTGTTAGGCCATGCTCACAAGCAGACCTACTTTATATAGGCTTTTTAACAGTAATATTTGAGCAGATGATCTATTATTATGGTTGGAAAAAGGCTAAAATGTATACAGCGAAAAGCCTTTCGCGCCTCTGTCACCATAATTATTGATTCCTTACATTTTCTTCTGATGTTTCTAAATGCATCTAACCAATATGAATATACAGATCTTTTAAATGTTTTTTATTCCTTATCCCTGCTCCCTTACCCACAAAAGCTGTTCTGAATATACCGTTTGACACTCTGTTTTGGAAGAGATAGTATCAGTTTTCAGTTTGGAGTATTAGAGTTTCTTTATTTCTGTTGTTGTTGTTGCATATGTTTCCATTGCTGGATAGTTTATTTAACCAGCCCTGTATTTTGTGGGTATTGGAATTCCCTATTTCTATAAATAACCTTGTATATGTGGTCTTTTAATTCTTTGCCAGTAACTCTGTTCAGAAAATTTCCAGAAACAGAATTTCTGAGCCAAAGGATACATTAATGTGTGATTTTTCCCAGGTACTGCCTAGTTACCCTCCATTGGGGTGTACCTTTGTCCTTTCAGCCTTGTCAGCAGAAATTATTATTCAGCTTCCGGGTATTTGCTCATCTAATAGGTAGAAAATAGTAAATTTTATAAAGCACTTCCTTCAGCCAGACCCATGCTCCCCCAGCCTGTGTTTAGGACCTTCTTGTCTACTCCTGGGTGCCCCCATCCTCTTGGTTCAGGCCTTTACACAGTTCCCAGCTGGTGTAGGAATAACACCAGATTGGGTGCTGGTGTGGGCTGGCTTGCGGTGGGATCGAGCTCAGTTCTGCCACTTATAAGTTCAGTAACGGCTGTCAAACCACTTACTCTTTGAAGTTGTTTCTGCATCTTTAAAATGGAGAATCCACGGGAAGCCTGGGTGGCTCAGTCGTTAAGCTTCTGCCTTTGGCTCAGGTCGTGATCTCGGGGTCCTGGGATCAAGTTCCGCATTGGGCTCTTTGCTTAGTGGGGAGCCTGCTTCTCCCTCTGCCTGCTGCTCCCCCTGCTTTTGCACGCACGCGCGCTCTCTCTCTCTCTCTCTCTGACAAATAAATAGATAAATCTTAAATGGAGACTCCCTGATTGGGCTGTCAGAGAATCAGATCAGATGCCTGGGAATGAATTGCATGCGTAACAGCAACTGGTAGACCCCTGACGTGGCTTCTGAGCAGATTGGATAGAACTTTCAAACGTCAAACGGAAATATTTAGATAGAACATGCTGAAAAGGAGCAGTCCCCACGTATCTGCTAGACCAGTGGCATGACTTGGGTTTGTTCACCTGTCTGAGCCCCTTCGTTCTCTCTCTCCTCCCACAGGTCAGCCATATGTCTTTGTCATGTGTCTTGCTTTTATCTTTCATGAGTCTTGTGATTGGAAAATTCCAGCTGCAAGTCATTGAATCAGTGACTGTCCACCCTGTGTGGGAAGTGTCCTGGGCGTTACGGGAGAACTCGGGGAGAGGGTCAGGACGTACAGGCCAGCGCTGGGCAGTGGTGTGAGGAACCAGCACACACTGGAAGCACACACACAGAAGCACAAACACACATCAGCACCATCGCTTTGAGAGCTGGGCTTGAAGGGAGTCTTTGCACATCTCCGGATACCAGCTCTTCTTAAAGCGTATGTCTTTTTTTTTTTTTTTTTTTAAGATTTTATTTATTTATTTGACAGAGAGATCACAACCAGGCAGAGAGGCAGGCAGAGAGAGAGAGGAGGAAGCAGGCTCCCTGTTGAGCAGAGAGCCAGATGCAGGACTTGATTCCAGGACCCTGAGATCATGACCTGAACCAAGGCAGAGGCTTATCCCACTGAGCCACCCAGACGCCCTAGAGGGTATGTCTTAAGAGTAAAGACTCT